AAATAGCATTAAAATGATATCATTCACAATGTACTAATTTCCTATACTTTTAGTTGATAAATAACCGATAATCATAACATAACAAATAGGCGCGTGTCAAAAGGTCACCGGCGAAAAAAGAGTGCCGATGAAAAAAGGTCGTTTCCAATTGTATCATATAAACAGTATCAGAGGCAGTATTATCATCTCGTTTATCCCCCGTAAGCACACATAATATAAACGGAAATAATCAAATACTAGTCAAAATATTATCGATCGGAGCACCATCTTTATTACATTACATGAAGTAATTATTGATTTTTCGGGGTTTATTTAGAGTTAAATTAGACGCCATTTTTGGTCCAAATTCGTTTTGACATGTTTTTTCAAAGAAAGTGACTTATAAATTTCAAATCTACACGTTTTGAAAAATATACAATATTTAAATATTCTGAGTGTACCAAATTCCAAGTAAAGGTTGAACTTAGGTCGTATTACATTTTTTTTTATTATTTGTTTGACATCGAGGTTAAAATAAATCTACACGGCACCTTTGAGATGAAATAAAAGGGGGTTATTTTACACGATTGGTTTTTATTGAAAATAATAAATTTATTAATTTTCAATAGTAAGGTGACCTAAGTTAGACCTTTATTTTTAATTTGGCCAAAAATTAGATTTTTAAACACTACATATTCGGAAAACTGTCGATTTAACTTTTGGTCTACACATACACTTTTAATACACAGGGATACCCCGTCCTTAACATAAAAGCAGGTGTTATTTGAAATGTTTTATTTTAGTTTAATAATCTTTATAAATTGTGGATACATTTGATCCGAATCTTGCAAATACTATAAAATGCATATGCTTCTATATGGTTAGTATTGGAGTAGAAGCACAAAAGTTTTGAATAAAAATATATTCTTTAAATACAATATTCACTAGATCTGCTAATTTTGGTAATTTTCTATTCGAAACCATACATGTTTTCTATTATAGTTTTCATACGTTTATAATTCTGGAGATACCGGAATATTTTGCTTGATTACTAAACTTTGGATGTTTTTGTTGTAGTCTGCTGTTAACACTATTGTCCTGAAATATTAAAAAAGCTAGACAAAGATTTGTCCAACTCTTTTGTCAGCTTTGTTAATCTATGCTACTGTTATTCTGCATGCAGACATTTTTTACTGGAGATTTTCTCTAAGAACTGTATTCAGTTTCAAATTTCGGCCAGTTTTAGGAAAGTACCTCTGTTGTAAAGGTATTTCAAAGCCATCCTTTGTGAGATGTAGACAACAAATACATGCTAAAATGTATAGAAAACAAATCGCAAGATATTACACAAAATTATTTAAAACTAAAAACATACAAGTGAATAATACCTACCAACAATTTAAAAAGACCTTAAATAAATAGACTTAAGGGACTGGAGCTCTAAAAAAGGGAGCAATAATTTGTTATGCATCATCTATAAGAAAATTGTCTTCATCTCTTCAATTACCTTTTAAAATAAACAAAACCAAAACAGCACAAAATTGAAAGTGATCTACTTTTCCCGACGTATTCTATGTACATCTGAGATTAATAATTTATTAAATTGAAATATTTTATCCTAAAAAATATGGGCATTTTATAATGGAAATGTCATTTAAAAAATGACATTGATTTTTTTTCTTATATTGGTGAACCTGGCGACTACAAGTTGCCACGTTGCCAGATCAATGGCGACTACTATGTGACTACTATTTCGAAAAAAATGGCGTCCAAAATGGACTCCTATGTCGCGACCCCCTTAGATATACCAGCCCTGGTAGTCACATAGTAGTCGCCATTGATCTGGCAACGTGGCAACTTGTAGTCGCCAGGTTTACCAATATAAGAAAAAAAATCAATGTCATTTTTTAAATGACATTTCCATTATAAAATGCCCATATTTTTTAGGATAAAATATTTCAATTTAATAAATTATTAATCTCAGATGTACATAGAATACGTCGGGAAAAGTAGATCACTTTTAATTTTGTGCTGTTTTGGTTTTGTTTATTTTAAAAGGTAATTGAAGAGATGAAGACAATTTTCTTATAGATGAGGATGCATAACAAATTATTGCTCCCTTTTTTAGAGCTCCAGTCCCTTAAGTCTATTTATTTTAGGTCTTTTTAAATTGTTGGTAGGTATTATTCACTTCATTTGTATGTTTTTAGTTAATTTAAATAATTTTGTGTAATATCTTGCGATTTGTTTTCTATACATTTTAGCATGTATTTGTTGTCTACATCTCACAAAGGATGGCTTTGAAATACCTTTACAACAGAGGTACTTTCCTAAAACTGGCCGAAATTTTAAACTGAATACAGTTCTTAGAGAAAATCTCCAGTAAAAAGTGTCTGTATGCAGAATAACAGTAGCATAGATTAACAAAGCTGACAAAAGAGTTGGACAAACCTTTGTCTAGCTTTTTTAATATTTCAGGACAATAGTGTTAACAGCAGACTACAACACAAAACATCCAAAGTTTAGTAATCAAGCAAAATATTCCGGTATCTCCAGAATTATAAACGTATGTATGGTTTCAAATAGAAAATTACCAAAATTAGCATATCTAGTGAATATTGTATTTAAAGAATATATTTTTATTCAAAACTTTTGTGCTTCTACTCCAATACTAACCATATAGAAGCATATGCATTTTATAGTATTTGCAAGATTCGGATCAAATGTACCCACAATTTATAAAGATTATTAAACTAAAATAAAACATTTCAAATAACACCTGCTTTTATGTTAAATATGTTTTTATTAAATACACAAATTAGTCTCAACCACACATTTTTTTTTTTTGTTTTTACTTCTAGTGTAAAAGTGACTACTAATTCAGTCTTTCAAGTTTATTATTTATAGAGACCAGCTACTACAAAATATCTTATTGATGATAACTAATTTCTCTTTAATAATGGTTTTGCATTTATTAACATTTTACAGCACTTTGTTTATATGAACTCTTGATGAACTCTTAATTAAATCACATTTAAATCAAGTAATTACATTTTCATATTCAACTTATGTATTCTTATTAGAACTTGGTCACTTTTTTTTTACTTTAAATCTTTTGACTGTGGTAACAGTCCATTCACCAAACCACAAAGTCACTTAAAAATGTTGAAAGAGAATATCATAAAGGTAAAATTCCTTCTTCTATCGTGTTTTTCATGCAATTTTAGGTTGTAAACGTTTTTTCCAACACCTTTTTTTAGAATTTATCCCAAGCAACACTATGAAAGATTTAAATCCTGGATTTACAGCATTCAGTTTCGAGATGAGTGCAGTCAAAATGTAGTTTAAGATATAATTTTCACATGAACACTTATTTACCACAGCACAAACGCATGTACCTATTCATGTAACATTTTAATATAAAGTGGAAACAAATTGCATAATTTGGTATATAAAAAAGTACAAAATGTTTTTAGTTTTAATTCGACATTGGACTACGACTACGAGGAAAACAGTGGTTCATTCCACTTGTACCATATTGACATTATTATGCACGATGCTCGTTCAAACGAACATCAGAAAAGTGTTGCCAACTTAAGCTTGACTACTATTTCCCCCCTAGCCTCAGTCACCCCCTCATCCATTTACTGGGTCTATGTCGCGACCCCCTTAGATATACCAGCAGTGGTGGCAGTAAACTATTTTCTGTTCACTTTTGATGTAAATAATATCTTAAAGTTTCAAGCTTTTACTTTTACAGCAACATTTTCTACACAGGCTTTTTAGGACGCCATCTTCGAGGACTCCATATCTGCAGGGACTGCAGCAAAGTATTTCCATGTTCTACAAGGTAAGAATTAACGAGATATTTGTAATTTTGTCTTTTACAAATAACATACCAAAAAGTGTCACGGGTTTCCTACCAATAATAAAAGTTAAATAAAAAAAAAGCAAAAAAAAACAAAATGACATTTGCGAAATAGGAACTTAGGGTAGGAAACATAACAATAAATTTTGATGATTTTAAGATAAAGTAGGATTTGCGCATGAATAATAGAGATCACCAATAATGGGAAAGGTCTATTATATGTATGTATGTATGTATGTATGTATGTAAAAATAAAAAGTCAGCTTTAATAGTATACCAAGCCTTTGGTTTATTCCCAGACCTCTGTTGAATCTTAACAAGTTATGGGCCCAAATCAACTGCCTTCCATAATCTAAACCATAATCAGAAGGTAAAAATGAAAATTTCGAAATATACTTGTCAAAGTATCAGCTAATTTTTGATTAGAATAGGTATACAAAAAGTCCTCATATTTCCAAAAAAAAAGAGGTCTTTTTGTGCACACTATGTCCCTTCCAAAAACATGTGCTGTAAAAAAGACATTTGCCGTAAAAAGGACATTTTCAGCTTTAAAAAGTCACAAGGACATTTTGCTTCAAAAAAGGACAGGTGGCAACCCTAAGACTTTGGAAGTAGATAACAACCTGGTCGGTAGACTAAAGAAAAGTATGTTAGCGGTGTGCCTCTGCTCGCACTACATATTATCAAAGTCCATACACATAGGGGGTCAGGATGATTGAGTGGAAGAAGGAAGACCAGTGGCAGTAGGTAATATGCAAATAGACAGTGGCAATACCACACCAACATTGTATTTGAGATTACTTAATTGTAAATTAAATCAATTAAAAAATAGTTTAGACCTTTTTATCAGGGATGAATCATACCTTCTGTTAACAATAAGTATATACGGCTGGAAGCAAGCCCATACGGCTTGTAATTCAAACTACGTAGAATTTCTCTCAAAATGCAGTTAGGTGAATATATATTAATTGAATGAACAGTAAGGAAGAAGCAGTGCGTCCAAATGGTGATATAATAAGATTCTGAGGGTCCAGTACCACCATGCACACCCCTAATGAGGGAAGGCAAGTTGGGTCTGATTGGGGGACCAGGGGCTATGCATCTCCTCAGGGGAGCAGAGGAGTGCCTGAAGGGGTTAAAACAAAAAACTTACCTCCTTTCACTTTTATTGGGCAAAGTGACATTCAGTCGACAGTCCTCGTAGGTTTTTGTATAATTTTTAATGGATCCATTCACCAAAGTGTGGGTCAAATCATGAACAAACTCTAAATCGCTATTTCTATTCTCTGTCATTTCACGTAATTCTAAACTATCACCTAGTTTAACACCTTTTCTAACTAAAGGTTCTACACCATCATAGTATTTTATAATTTTAAATGTAACATCTGCATATATCAGCGAATCATATACTTTACTTATTAGGTGTAATTTTTCTTTATTGGCTTGTTTGGAAATATCAGGTGATTTCATTTCCATAATATTGCCTTTTAGTTTATCAATTCTATGTCTTGAATAATCTGGAATACTAAGGATATTAGGGATGTTCCACCAAAGTAAACCCATCTTTAAATAAAAGGGCACTTTAAATGACTCCTCCAGTTCTAATATTTCAAAACTTCGAAAGCAATGTTTGTGTTCAAAAAATGTATGGTCTATATTATCATCTATGAGTAATTCCTTGTTATCTTCATCTACTTCTAATTGTTCTTCACAATTACGTTGATTGTATTCTATTTTGATTGGCATTGCATTTTGCAATATCTGGCCACCTGACTGGACCCAAAATTGGAATTGAAGCAAAGTTTTTCTTATATCTCCTTTGTTATATTCTAAAAAGCTTCCAATTTCATTTTGGGATATGTACAATCCTGTAAAAAATAAATAATGAACGTCTGGATTTAACATTATTTTTGGATAAATAAGTGTTGTAACAATAAGTATTGTACAAACCTTCACAAAGAAACACAATCTGAAGCCACGTAGACAGAGAATATGAAGACAGTGGTAAAAATTGAATATATTCATACTGATTTAAATATTTTTGTACAAATATTGAATGATAATCAGTCGTAGTTGCAATTAGAGGTCGTTTACTAGTTGTTGTTAACTGTATAAGAGCAGATATAAATCCATCATCTTGTTCAAAAACAATATCTACATCTTCTATTAAAATAACACACATTTTTTGGTCACTTTGTTGCTCAGACGACTTTGATTTATCTCTTTGAGAATTAAATAAGTAATTCTGAAAATTTTGTGGATCGCTCTGAACTTGATGGGATTGAGTAGCCTCTTGGATTTCTTGAAGCAGGCGTTTTCCTAAACAAAAAATTAAGTATATCAAATGATGTTTTCGGAAGATCTTATCAAGTGTTGGCTGATTGTTCATTGAACTAGTCGACTTTCATTATATCATATAATATTGTTATATTATTATATTATTATATTATTATATTATTATATTATTATATTATTATATTATTATATTATTATATTATTATATTATTATATTATTATATTATTATATTATTATATTATTATATTATTATATTATTATATTATTATATTATTATATTATTATATTATTATATTATTATATTATTATATTATTATATTATTATATTATTATATTATTATATTATTATATTATTATATTATTATATTATTATATTATTATATTATTATATTATTATATTATTATATTATTATATTATTATATTATTATATTATTATATTATTATATTATTATATTATTATATTATTATATTATTATATTATTATATTATTATATTATTATATTATTATATTATTATATTATTATATTATTATATTATTATATTATTATATTATTATATTATTATATTATTATATTATTATATTATTATATTATTATATTATTATATTATTATATTATTATATTATTATATTATTATATTATTATATTATTATATTAATTATATTATTATATTATTATTGTTGTGTATGTTTTTGAAAGAATATGACTAGACTATTAATTATTTAACGCGTTCAAAGAGTGCGAGTTGTCACACTTGACATAGAGCATGGAACCAAACCCACAACCTATGTATGTTTTTGTTTTATCGTTGTTGTTAAGTTAGTTGTCTTTTTATGAATGAAAGAAAAGGATCTGTCAAAAAGGATAATAAAGTTTCATATAATTTTATTGCGTTATTTATACACAAATATAAAAGTGGTGTCAGAAGTGGGATCGAGAGTATATAGTGTTCCTGCACCAACTTAGTGATCACCAACGATGCCAGCCACTCCGACAGTTACTCCTGAACTACTTCAGACTTTCTCCAGCATGATAGCTAACGCAATCCAAACCAACCCCGGTGCACCAAATATCCACCACAGAAGTTCCGAAAGCCCTCACCGTCGACCAAGAGAAACAGCTGGACCATTTACTAACCAAATATGATGATTTATTTGGAGAAACCCCTGGCAAACTGACAGGTCCTCCAGCGAAACTGAAGTTAAAACCAGGAGCTATGCCAGTCTTCTCCCGATCGCGAGAAGTACCGCTCGCCTTACGGGCCTCAACTACCTACATTGTGGCCAAGAAAAACGACAAATTAAGAATCACCGCCAACTACAAGCCAAAACTGAACCCAAGAATCATAATTGACGAACATCCGATCCCAAAAGTGGAGCATCTCTTCAACAAGTTGAGAGGCGCAACCCTATTCTGCCACCTGGACATCGTCGACGCTTATACGCACCTAGAAGTTGATGAAGAATTTAGTCACGCGTTAACGCTAAATACTCCCACCCATGGACTCGTTAGACCTGCACGCGCGGTATATGTAGCAGCAAATATCCCCGCTATTTGGCAGCGACGTATGGACACAGTTCTCCAGGATCTACCCAATGTCGTCAATTTTTTTGATTACATCATCGTCTACGCGGATCGATTTGATAACCTGCTGCAGGCACTAACGTCAACTCTGGAGCGTTTTAGGATACATGGATTAAGATTCAACCGTTCAAAATGCTCTTTCGCAAAAACAGTCCTAGAAGCCCTGGGCCACAAGGTCGACGTAAATGGGATACATAAATCGGATGGACACATTCAAGCGGTACGAGATGCTCCGAAGCCATCGACACCGGAGGAACTGCAACTTTTTCTTGGCAAGGCAACATATTACAGCTCTTTCATCCCCGACCTGTCAACAAGGGAACGTCCTCTTCGATATATGCTCCTCAAGGACCCCTTTGCATGGACTTCAGCTGGTACAGAGGCCTACCTGGACATCAAGAAGATTTTGATTTCGCCGCAAGTCCTGATGCAGTACGATCCGTCACTTCCGTTGCTGTTGGCAACAGACGCAAGCAGTACGGGATTGGGGGCAGTACTATCTCACCGACTCAGTAATGGACAGGAACGTCCAATTGCATACGCAAGTCGCAAGATGTCGGCTGCGGAAAAAAGGTACCCTCAAATAGATAAAGAAGCACTCGCCATCGTTTGGGCTGTAAAAAAGTTCTTCAACTACCTCTACGCTCGCCATTTCACGCTGATCACAGACCATAAACCGCTGACACAGATCCTACACCCGGAAAAGTCACTCCCGGTGCTCTGCATTAGTCGAATGGCCAACTACGCGGACTATTTGGCAAATTTCAACTTTGACGTGACTTTCAAAACGTCAAAAGCAAATGCGAACGCCGACTATTGTTCTCGGGTGCATGCAATGTTAACAGTTAGTACCATCTATTACAACTCGTCACGCAGGAGGGAGGAAGCAGAGAACTATGACGAGTTTGACCAATTTGTCGTACATCAAACTACACAGTTACCAGTCCGAGCAGAGACCATCGCACGGGAGACCCGGAGAGATCAACATCTTGGTAACATCACCAAACTATTGGAATCGGGACAGGACCTTGTTCGCCATGGATTTAAAGCTCCAGAAGCTAAGTATACGCTCGCGGCAAATTGCTTATTATTTGAGCACCGAGTTGTTATACCGCCAATACTACGGGACGCTATCATCCAGGATCTGCATGCTGCCCACATCGGCATCGTCAAAATGAAAGGGCTGGCTCGTTCGTTTGTTTTTTGGCCAGGTATCGATGCAGACATCGAACGTGCCGCCAAGTCTTGCATTGAATGTGCTAGATATGCAAATGCACCACCCAAATTTAGAGAACACCACTGGGAGTATCCCAAGGAAAGGATTCATGTTGATTATGCGGGCCCAGTAGCAGGAAAAATGTTTCTGATCATCGTAGACGCCTACAGCAAGTGGCTGGAAGTGAAGCCTACTAAGGTGACGACGGCAATCGCAACTGTGACGGCAATCGCAACTGTCAATATCTTGGACGACATCTTTGCCATGTACGGAGTACCAGTTACCATTGTATCCGATAATGGAACACAATTCATATCAGATGAACTCAAAACTTTCCTCCAAAGATCGGGCGTAAAGTTCCACAAACTGACTGCTCCGTACCACCCATCAACGAATGGACAAGCCGAGCGATATGTACAAACGGTAAAGGATGCCCTTCAAGCTATGGAAACAACAGAGAGTACCTTACAAACAAATCTGAACGAGTTTCTCCGTCAGTATCGCAAAGCCCCACACGCCACCACAGGCCAATCCCCGGCACAACTTTTCCTAGGACGCAACCTGCGCACCCGCTTGGACTTGGTCCGACCAGAAGACACGCACACCAAAGTTATGCAGAAACAACGTGTCGAAATGGATTCTACATTTAGAATATTTCAGCCAGGACAATCCATTTATTTCTTGTCTGGCAACCCAAGGTTGGACAAATGGATTCCAGGTACTGTCATTACCCGCCCAGGAGATATCCATTACGAGATACAGTATGGAGACAATAAAAAGGCGAAAAGACACATCGACCAAATTAGATGTTTCCCAGATCAAAAACCGCCAAGTGATTCTGAAGCTAACTCAAAACAACTAGAGACTACGTAACTACCAAGACGAGTACGCTTCTATGAGCTTACAGCACCTTCAAATAGTCCGGTTATAATAGCCTCCTCTGCAGTATCTTCTGGGGCACCAGCTGCTCCACTTACTCCGAGACAACAAAGGTCAGTTGTACCAGCGACACCAATTGTCCCAAAACAGCAAAGGATACCTGCGCCACATAATCCTCGCAGATCAAACCGGTCGAGATTCCCACCATCCAGATTCTCGGCCAATTAATCACATACGCTTTAATACTATTAATTATTTAACGCGTTCAAAGAGTGCGAGTTGTCACACTTGACATAGAGCATGGAACCAAACCCACAACCTATGTATGTTTTTGTTTTATCGTTGTTGTTAAGTTAGTTGTCTTTTTATGAATGAAAGAAAAGGATCTGTCAAAAAGGAGAATAAAGTTTCATATAATTTTATTGCGTTATTTATACACAAATATAAAAATTATATTATTATATTAATTGTATTATTATATTATTATATTATTATATTATTATATTATTATATTATTATATTATTATATTATTATATTATTATATTATTATATTATTATATTATTATATTATTATATTATTATATTATTATATTATTATATTATTATATTATTATATTATTATATTATTATATTATTATATTATTATATTATTATATTATTATATTATTATATTATTATATTATTATATTATTATATTATTATATTATTATATTATTATATTATTATATTATTATATTATTATATTATTATATTATTATATTATTATATTATTATATTATTATATTATTATATTATTATATTATTATATTATTATATTATTATATTATATATATATATACGCACCTAACTATTAATATGAAGCCCGACATATACTAAAGGGTAATGGAAGCCCGGTGTGTGGGGTACACTTCTTGTACTATCATGTATAAAAGTGTGCTGCGGTTATTGCGAAACCCGCTAGGTTTTATGCATTGTATGAAGCCCGAATGTATAAAAAGTTAATAGTTATTCGATTATAAGAAGCCCTACAGCGTTGCCAATAAAATAATGAATTTTGTTATAAAGGAGGTTATCTATGGTATATAAATATTTACAAATAGCTTAAATGCCCTAACGACTGCATCTTCTTGAGATCTACAATATCTTAGGAAATATTAAATTAAAATTTGCAATTAATTAAATTCTTCTAATAAGAACAAAAAAAATTGCTTCTCTCTTTCAAATAAATCTTGTCATGATTGTTCTCGTTGTTAAACACTATATTTATGAAACTGAAAAATAACTGACGTTTTCCCATGCATCGTGCCGGAAATTTTTTTCCCGTGCGTTAAATTTCGATGCTA